GCTACGATACCAGTTCAAATACCCTCCAGTTTTTCGCCATTTTATTGTATCGTCGACGTAACAAGTAGATCAGCTAAATAGATAAATAATTTAACCGGAGAAGTGGCGATCGACGAGCATTACAGAATAGGTCAATGGTTTGTGTTCGGAGTAATTGTAGACTATTCCCTGCTAGACTTGTAGAAAAAATGCCATGGCACGATAAATATATAGGACCCAAGTTTATAGTGCCGTTTAATGTTTTTTATTGACTATTAATTACACATGCGTTTATAAAACATATATAGTATATAGTTGTCCATCAACAACTTACGACTTTTTGGCAAGCAGATATGCCTTACCAAAATACAATAGATTCCATACCCCAAACAGATTAAATCATTTAAACAATATAACAAAGTCTACAAGATGTAGAGAATTTAAGCAGGAACATTTGACCTGTGTGAGTTGTTCGCTATCTTATCATGTCTATACAAATGTTTTCCTACTGAATCTACTCCTCGACAGTTCTTGTTAGATATCAACTAGATTGATTTCACCTGTTGTTTCATTATTTCAACGACCTTGTTTTATGTCAAGACAGAAAAAGTTCTCTATGTATATAAGATATATTATAGTTTAGACATTAATTATTCAAATAGAAGCAAAAAACATAACTAGATTTAGCAGAAGTTTTAACGAGAGAACGTTTGATAAAAGCACGCAAGAGACGGCCACAAGCAACGTGTAAAGTATTTGGAGGGGTTTTTTGCTGTCAGATCAAATAAGAGTTAGCCTGCAACCATTCTATTTATAAAGAAGATATAAGAAATTCCTTCTTTAAATGTCATTTACTAATGGCAATAGTTGATATGAATAGGATATCAAATTATACATATATCAGAAATGATTGTCGGGGAAACTCGCCAGAATACACATGAACAGCAAGCATTTCAAGGGGATTTGCATTCTACCTGCTCTGGATTGATGATGGATCTAGGTAACCATAAATTACAGGAACTAGATCTCTTTCATTTAGTTTAAATTAAAATTCTGAATCGGGCTGATCGGATATGTTATTCCCATTATTGAAGAGACAAACTCTATACGATTAAATAGCAGATTATCAGATTACGCAAAGGCCGGTACGACAAGACATCACCTGTATGATGTTCAACAGTTCGATAACATTCTGAGAACACGATTTCCTTATACCCATGATAAACGATACTCGATCATATTTTACGATGACAAATCTTGTGTTCCGCTGAATGCATCAGCACATCATCAAGGTCTGACATTTACCAACCAAGTTCTAGTCTAGCAACCTACGATTTAATATTATTTTTACAAATTTAAAAATAAAAATAAATAAAAAAAACAAGGGAAAAAGGAGTTGATCATGTCGTCAACATAAAGGTCATAATGAGACTAATATACATTTTTTATGGTGGAAAAACCTACTGCCCTCACCACTGAAAGCAACATATATAGTTAATATGGATTTGGATTTCGGATTCTCCAAAATAGCCCAAGAGAATATCCCGTAACTTGGCGTGTGAGAGCATGAACAGGTTCAGTGCACTCCCACCGAGTGGCAAAAATATTATTGCTGAGAAAATTCTGAAAAAATGGTAAAACCGAAGGTCCATTTTATCTACTAGAAAATGGACCTTCGATTTTACCATTCTTTCAGATCATCAAATCTGACTACCTAAAGACGACGGTGAACGATGAGAAATGGTGTGGTTTAATGGTTAATTTATCTATTTACTTTATATACTTTATTTTTTAGCGCAATTCAAAGGTGTTGCGGGATCTGTTGGTTATATCAGATCGCCAGCAGTGGATGCCGAATATTGACAAATTTTAAACAATATTCAACATTTAAAATAGTATAGTTTGCATGGAATTAACAATCCCTAAAACAACGTTCAGGGTTCAGAGACTTTAAGTTAAAGAAATATGGATGTAAGTTTTTGTTTCTGAAATTTTTGTATGGTATTTGATTTTAGTATGTCTTTGGACATAAGCTACAAATGACTAAGAAATAAAGATATTATAAACTCTCCATAATATATGGTGAAAGATGAGCCCTTGTTTTCCTTTCTGATTCATTTAAAATGATTATGACCATTACGAAATTATCAATTTTATCTTTTATTTTTTTGTAGGACGACATGAGATCTAACCTATTTTAATGAGAAGGTGTTTTTTTTGTAAGTTGTTATAACTTTTGTCAATTCTTTGTATTGTACCAACTTTAAACTAACCGATGATTTTTGTGTTCCAATGTGAACAAGACTTGACTTCTGCTTAATCTTTCCAAACAAAAATGTAATTTTATTGAGTTAGCATCATCACTAAAAGAAATAACAAATCAAATCAATACAATTGATTAATTGATTTTGACTCAATTCAATGAGGTTTAGGCTCATTTAAAGTTCCAGTTCTGTGTTTTTAAAAAACAAAATTACGACTTTAAAAGGCGAACAAATTTAAATGTTGAAGATTGATAGTAAAACTAGTTTTCCATGAAAACTTCTTGCACTAAGAAAAATGTATGTTAGTTTTTTTGTTTTGTTTTGAACCTGGTTGTTTGTATGCTATGTTTATTTTATTGTTTTAAACATCAGTAAGATGAGGGAATGTATTTTTGGAACCCGTAGCTGTTTTCCTTGTTAGCGAAAAAATCAATTTATTTCTTTGACAGGAAAGTTATAAATTACTTGGTTGTCGTTTTGCTCCCATAAAAACAATATGAAGAAAGTAATTCATCGCTTTCCAGAATTCTATACTTGATATTTTTATCAGACCAATTATAAAACATGCTTCAATGAACATGAAACTACTTTCTTTTGTTGTTTTGTCAAGTAGAAATATATGATTTTATGATGGTTGATATCTATTAGAGGGTTGAAGATGCTTAACATCTTTAATTTTAAGCTATTTTCTGTCACAAATGATGAAGAGTCGGAGGGTAATGGGTAGACTGATTGGAGCCCGAGATAAGCGCGCTTGTAGGCTAGTTAATTTACACTATGCTCTTGATGGCTAACTAACATTAGCACCGATTCGTCTTGTAAAAAAATATATTAACTATGGATGCCTGAAGGAATTATTAGTTCAGGGGTCTGCTCGATTTGTGACCGATGGTATTTACCGTTATCAAGACGTCTCAGTCGGGAATAGTTGATGTAGGGAGAAATCAAAGATTCGACTCTCCCAATGTCTTGAACGATGAATGTTAATGATAGACTGTAGTTAATTAGAAAACGATATCTACAGAATGAGTACGTAGCGACGTTAGATATGATAACAGACGACGCGGGTGTAAATCGAATCACGAGACAAATAACTTTTAAAATAAAATAAGATGGTCATTAATCAGTCATTATCTTAGTTTGATAAAACCTTGCACGGGGAGAAACTCTGAATATCGTTTCATTAATATTCTTCTCATTTCTCTAGAATATTGAAATAATTTTTATTACAGAACATTGATTTTCTCAAAACCTATCAATAGATACCAACAAAAAATAACAAAACAAAGATAATTGAATAGCATACGACAACATCCGATAATCTCCATCTGTAAAACCTTACGGAATTGGTAAATCATTCACAACAGTTATCCTTCCCCGGTGAGAGTTCCTTACCATTTTTGTTTGGGTCCGATGCTTCTCTAGAATATTAGTAACAACAAACTTAGACAATCATTGATATCGGTTTCTCGTGATGAAACCCCAGCTTTTAGTATATTTAGTACAGTATTTAACGTTCACTTAATTCCAATGGCTCTAACCACTGCCAGAACTCTCGACACACAATTTATAATATATGGAATTAAAGCCTATTTAAATGTTTTATTATAGTACCTATCACTTTCTGACAGTCGCTTAATAAAATTATTCAGAGAAAATGTCTTGGATTAACAAGCTACCATTTAGAATCTCAAATCAGAAGCCTAGTTGCCACATGATTACAGAAATGCATTAAATTACGAAGACCCCATTCATACCTGCCTATGTCACGCCATGTAGTAAAGTTAACGCATCAACCACTAATTCACACAACAATTTGGAATCTCACGTATTGATCACATCATAAAACTGTATCTGAAACTCATTTACTTCACAACCTGGTCAAATTAGTCGACTCCGTTATATTTGCTCGGATCGTAAACGACCCAAATACATTGTTACAGCACAATCATTGAGTCGGCTTAATGGTATTAAATATCCCACGTACATTCGATACGGATTCCAATGAAATGTAATAACTCTAGATCTCGACCAGCCAAATATATTTTTTGATATCTGAATTAACGAGTAAATACCACAATTCCACCGTTAAATAGACATGAAACATCGATCTTATGGGGCCACGTAGTTTGTAATCAAGTAGCCTATAACGTTATCAAGGGAGGTTGGTTTGGGTTGGCCGAGAGTGCTGCGCTTCGACCTCTAGCTGGCCGGTCACCTCAGGCTTGCTGTTGTAGTTTCGATCCCTGGTGTGAGCGTACGTGGCTTGGAGATGGGGCCGCCTTCTCAAATCCATTAACTAGTGATAAGGTCCGATCCAGGGGAAAGAATAGTACTAAAAGAATCACCCATAAACTTCTTAGCCTGTTGACATTCAAACAAGAATTATTTTTTGTTTGTAAATTCGCCATGGACAGAAATCCCCTAAAACAATGCTTCCTTAAATCTCTGAATGGGAAAAGGTATCGGGAAGTATTATTCAAATGTCTATATATGAATTAAGAGTTTGTTTCGCATTTGCTCTCTGCCATGTATTATTTTCAAATAACAGAAATGTTCTGATCCACTAGCAATCGAGAAGCTTGGTACTTTTTTTATAGATTGCCCGAAGCACCAAAAGCCGCAATTATCTTTAATTGTTCTATATGAACTAAATACAGATACATGTTGGAGATTTTATCCTTCAGCACTTTCATATCACTGGGATAAAAGGTCACAATCAATGCAAAAAAAAAAAAAAGTAATCAAGTCAAGAAATCAATGATCATATCTTTTATTTTGTTGTATATTGCGAAGCAGACTACATATATCTCGTTGAATAGTCTAAATGACTTGACAGTACCAAAATAAGATGACTTCATAATAAAATGAGTCTCGATGGAGCACAACAAATTCAAGATATACACTTGGTTGTTTTATATTAGAATCAAATCACCCAGAAACTTTGCCATTAATACTGATTAATGTAATAACTTGGAAAATAAAAATGGTCAAACAATTTTGACTTGGAACAAGTTGTAATTTCTTACTGGAGATTTGATAAACATAAAGAACAACCAAGACAAAGACAGACAACAGTACAGTACTGACAATACTTCATATAATAACTATAAGGTAGTCAAATAAAGTCAATACCTCAATATAAAATAGAATTCATTACAGAAATAACAATTTTTAAAAAAACAGCCCAAAACTTGTAATAACTAATGAATGTCATTAATGCTAAAGCTAAAACTGATTGGTCTAGAATCTATAACAAATTAAGATACAACAAAATCAAATAAATTTCCTGAAAGTGGACAACATTTAAAGGAGGAAACAACAACAATTTGTAAGTTCTGAAGAAAATATTTCCACATTTATTCTGTCCATTTTCAGGAATAAATCATCGTTAAAGGATGCAAGTTTGTATCTTGTCCTTTTTGGTCCGTGAACTGACTACATTCTGTAAGAAATGAAGTCTTATGTAATTAACAAGTGAGAGCTAATAAAACAAAAAGCACTTTTAGGTACTGTAGAACACGTGGACTCCACGGTCCCTATATTACAGACAAAGATCATATTGAGGTTGCTATGTTGTCAGCCACTAAAAGAAAACAAACAAAATAAAAGAATCATTTTCTAGGATTTCCATTATAAACATTGAATAAAGTAAGTTTTGGAGATCTACATAACCACATTATCTAAATTATTATGTACATCTTTTAATAGGTAAAACATGGCTACCATAATATATGCTACAAAATTGAATAATATAATATATTTCTTATATAATGACGATTCATATACTCTCCAACAGTACAAAATAATGAGATGATATACACATTTAGGAAGATAAGTTTTTTGTCTTTTTATAATGCACCAAAACTCAGAAGCCCTATACAAACTACAAGCTGAAGATTTCCTTAAACTACAATCATACAAAAATAAACCTTTTTAGCAAACAAGCATATTATTAAAATGATAACTCTGTAAGCATTACTTATATTATATAAAAACTATACATTGACTGTCACATCTGTCACATACAGAAACAGCTCTCAACTGGACATAAAAAATACAAGCAATATTTCTTCTATATAGATATGATTATTAATCAACAAATTTTAATACAAAACTAAACCTAAGTTATTCAAAATATTTGTCTTGGAATTATTTTATCTTTTTTTGACAAAAGGAATTTCAAAAAGCTATCATAATTATTAATAAATGTAAGTAATGGTAAAATGACAGTAAAATGATATATAATATAATAATAAAGTCAGCAACAAACAACACAAAACAAATAAAGATTAAGAACTAAACACAATGGACAAGGAGAAACTGAACACAAAACCCTGTGCTGCTAGAAAACAATAATAAAAGAGAAAACAAAAAAAAGAGACCCTGTAGTTTATATTTTATCAGACCACTTTAATAGGACAAACACATATCACACACAACCATTTTAACCTGTAAGCTCAGGTAAAGGTTTAATTATTCTATTTTAGGACTAAGCCACATGCCATTAAGTAAATTTTATGATATGTTAATAAATGCCGCAATATTTTTCTCACCAAAGCAAACATTATTATAATTTAGGTAAGAAATTGATCCAAAGTTGGTGTTTTGGTACATGTAAGTATCTGAGTATTGGAATCACATTTTAATTGAACACAGTTTGTTTAAGAAACGGAAAATCATATTTTGGTTTAAATGCAAACACTTTGACATGTTTTTATCAGAAATAATGAACTAACAACAGACATGGAAGAACATAACAACCACAAATAGATACATAACAATTGTATATAAACAAGCAAATCATCTTCAACATATGTCACAGTATAATACCATGCAATCAATACACAATGTCAAACATCACAAAGTTTTTTTTTATTCACCACACTTCCTATTTAAAAAAAAAATGTCATCTAAATTAGATAGATCAAACCATGTCATGATAACGCAAAATATTCTCTTCCCTAATTAGAATAATCACAATATAATCACACAAAATAGTATTCACCAACAGATAACATAGAGGAGATATATCTCTATGGTAACAGTAATGTCCTTCACCTTGACAACGACCATGACATGACACTCAACCACATCAAAGTCATACATGCAATTCTACAATTTCATCTATTCAAAAAAATCCATGCCAATAATTGAAGATGAAGTAATGACCACAAATATAATAGAAAGTAGTCATTTTCTATACATGTATGTAATATATCACTCAGCTACTGTATATATATATATATATATATATATTTATATTATTAATAACTAGTCACATTAAATGAATTTTATACATCTTTTTTTGACAGTAAGTAATCTTACAACACTTGCTTCACAACCACCACCAAAAACAAAATGGCACCATGAAAAAGTTGAATGAAATCTAATAAGAAGTCTCAACAAAACTGATAAATCTAATTATAATGTAGTTTATATACTATCTACAATCAATATTCTAAAACAGTTCATTGGTATAGAATAAAGTATAATATATATATATATATAATAAGTAAGTATATTAACAATAAATTTGCTATAAACTAAGATTCTGCTACTAATACGAGAAGACCTCTAGGAGGTTGACTCCATGGTTGTAAAACATGTTCATGTGGTTTGCGACACAAGTTCCCAAATTGTCATATTATATATGACAATATACCTGGGATATGATGATAATACAAAAATGGAAGATTTGTAAAGTCAAACCTTCAGCTCAATGCTGAAGAAGATATGTATTTACTTCCTAAAATATGGAATAATGAACACTCTCAAGGCAGTCAAAATAAAACCTTACGAGCAAAAATATAAAAAATTTAATAAAATCTCCAACAATACTGCCGGTGAGAAAATGTTTCTACAACACTTCCAGTAGTAGGAGGTATGTCATCACATTTTCTACACACAAAGTCTTTCAAGAACTTATTTTGGCCGCAAGCGATTTATACAATCCACTAATCAAGGTTTCCACACTTTAGAAAGAAAACATTAAGAGCATAAACAAGCAATACTTGTAGAGCCCTTATAGAAAATAAGTTCCTCTATTCATAACAAGATTACCAGTCACTCCTATAGTACGTAATCAATCTTTTTATAATATATATATATATTATTCAATCTTTGGTTGGGTGACAGCGGGTTCAGCTGCTACAGAATTTTGGAAGTTATTGAGATTGTCTCGTGTTGGGGTGGCTCTGTGTTTACTGGGACTGGGTGAGGAAGCAACAGACACAGGTAAGGTTCCAGACGCTGATTTACGTTTAATGTATTTAGCTACTTTTAGCTTGTGAGTATCCAACTGACAATGAACCTTCATTTCGTACAATGACGACACCTTCTCAGCACACGGTTTACACTCATATTGTATCTGTTCTAGTTTTAACATCGGCTGCACATTTTCTGGCACCTTGCCACCCGCAAAACACAATGATTGTTGATGATTGACACAAGCATCTTTAGCAGGATAAACCATCTGACATTTTTTACATATGTACCCTACATCCACCAAGCTTTCAGTAATCAAGCGGAAATCAGTAGAACCAACCATAGTTTTCAGCTCAGTTAACTGTTTACAATCCTGAGTATATTGGGCCCTGGTCGATTTAGGGTCTGATAATTTCTCTCCAACATGCTTTATTGCTTGTTGTGGTATCTGTAACAATGTCAGTGGTGTTCCAAATGCTAAAGGGTCATATGCCATCATATGTTCAGCTCCTGAAATACACAACAAAAGCCACATTAAGTTATAATTAACAATAAGATTACTTTGGAATTACAGAATCCTTGATAAATGCACCCAAGACACCAAATTAAAGTATTTATCTATTGCAACTTCAGTTTGATGAAAACCATTCAATAAAATGGTAAAACAAATACCTGGAAACATTCCTGGTTGCATCATTGGCATTCCTATTCCAGGATAGAAACCAGGTAATCCTGAATACATGTAGGATAGGAAGTTTGGATCCATACCAGGTAAGAAACCTCCTAATGCAGACATCATTTGGGCATTCATGGCCATTTCAGCAGCTTGTTCTTTGGTTGGAGCTGTAAATAAAAATATAGTGAAAGCAATGAGTACAATCAGTGTGATTTGATGATATATCTGATCTAAAAATCATATTTATCTATCAAAATTTGCATCAGATCACTCTCAAAACATTTTAATTGCAAGAAAAGTACCCCAAGATGCAAGAATCTATTTCAAGAAACCTTGTTTGTCACATGACTTGATTGAAGGAGAATTCATTTTCCAGCTTGTATTTTTCGTTAGTCGCTGTCCATTTACCATAAACATCAAAGCCTAAGTAAATTCTTGGATTATCCCCTGCCAATTTCTTTTTCCACCATTTAATCATAGTCTACAGGATGTTGCTGTTTAGGTATCTCAACGTTTTCCCACAATCATTAGCCATGAAATCAAACATAAGACATGCTCCTTACGTCACTCAAGGAGACAGACTTCTAGTTTGGGGCCCCCCTAATTTTTTGTCACGCGGGCATCCCATTGTTCTTTTCTTTTCATATACACCAAATATGCTATACTTTTATTGGAAATAACTACCCTATTACTACTTTCGTGGGAATGTATCTTTAATATCTTGTCAAAAGGCGGATCATTTTACAACTAAGGTGAAAAAGGGCACAGCAAACTCAAAGCATCATAGCTCAGACACCCATCATCATCCCAAGATATGTGCATTCATTTACAACCTAATATATCCTATCTTACCATTATCTGTTTTAATGTCCTTCTTTTCTTTTTTCTCTGACTTTACTTTGTTACCAGTATTACTACTACTACTTGGACTGGCAGTACCTGAAACATTAGAATAAACAGTAAGTACTCACACAACAAAGTAGGTGTCCTCAGATGTTATATGCATTACAATATCTGAAGATGCCTAAAGGATGGCAGGTAGCTTAATAATTGATGTCTATTTTTTTAACTGGCACATGTTTATAAAAACATTGCAACATATATGTAGTACTGAGCAGTCATTGATGATAAAGTCTTTATCTAATATTCATTACATATAAATTGTGAAAAATTTAATGCAACTAACCTGACAGTCCCATAGCATTAAGTCCCATGGCTTGAAGTTGAGCTAGATGTGAAGGTGGTGTTTGTGTTTCATCCCAAACTTTTCTCATTCTATCCATATCCCTCTGTTGTCTTAGCAATGTTGATACACCAGAAGGATCAGACATCTCCCGCTCAGCATCATTTTGTGATGCAATATATTTGCGCACATTATCAATATGTTTTTTCGTGAAGATATGGTCCTGTACAGTAAATTTGTGAGAATATTTGAATTTGCACAATTTACATTCTTCTGGTGTTTTATGGACATCAACATCACTGTTATAACTTTTAGAATATGCAAGCTTTGACTTCTTTTCTTTAGCTCTAGCATTTTGGAACCACACCTGAATTACTCGTTTTGGAAGACCAATCTCTCGACCAAGTAATTCACATTCTGCCATGGTAGGTGTTTTATAATCTGTAAACAAAGTTTTCATCACTCGTACCTGCATGCTAGTCATCTGTGTGCGGTAGCGTTTATTGATATGATTATGTGTGTTGGGTGATGATGGGTTGCTAGTATAGATGTTCAACTCATCATTTGCTGCCTCTGACATAGTATCAGAAATAGAATCATCTAAACTTATTCGTCTATTATGGTAATGATCTTCCATGCTAAATTCACTCATATCTGTGGAAGGCCCATCTGACGTTTTGTCATGATTATCTGTAACAACTTTGATTGGCTTACTGAGATCTAGTGGAGTGTCATCTTCTATAGAAGTAGATGGTGCCTTGCTCTCAGTTTCTGATCTCTTCGCACTTGTTTTACCTCCATCTGATGTAGAATGAGCATTTTTCGGGGTGCTGCTCAAATCACTTATGTATTTTTTAAAGGAATCTTCATACAACTGTTGCATGGACATCTGTACAGAATCAGCTCCAGACGGGAAACTGATATTTGACTGATGCATGAATGGAAGGTAATTTGACATTCCAGGTGAGATTAGTTTATTCAGATCATGGACAGAATTTGGATTTGAAGACATTGGTCCAGAATGTGGTTGAGGAGTTGGTGGACTTCCATCAAGAGAAGCATCTGGAATAGTATCAATGTTAAATTCCCTTTTTGCCATTTCTTCTGGATGTTTGGTTGCCAAATGAGATTCAAGCGCAGACTTGGCCCGGAAAAGAGCCCGGCAAAAGGGACATCTTTTATGAATGATTTGTTGATGGGCTCTGTATTGTCCTTTTCTTTCTCTTGCTCGTGTATTCTGAAACCAAACCTGAACTACTCGTTTCTTGAGACCAACCTCTCTTGATATGTTTTCCAGCTGTTTTCTACTTGGATTACAGTCTAGTTGGTATTTCTGGTAGAGATAATCAAGCTGTTCTGGAAGAATTGTGGTTCGTAATCTTTTATCTCTTGGCTGATCTAGATCATCATCACTTTCAAACTTTCTTTTCATGCCACTATTTCCTTCATGCTGGGCAAGAGATTGAAGGACATCAAAAGCACTATTTGATGAGAAGCCTGGGAATAGAGCAGGATTAATACTATGAATAGCCTGGTGTTCCTGCCAAAGGGTAAGTCTATTAAATGAAGCATCACACTTATCACACTGGAAAGTTGATGATTGTGCAACACTAGATGAGTCATCAGCAGCAGAACTAAGATTGGTATCATCATTAGGAGACATGCAGGAATCACTATCATCTTCATCATTAAATCCATCATCAGCACTTGAACTATTAGCTGCCGTGGAATGAGAGGAAGTGGCTCCACTCATATTATTTTTATTTTTTGACTCAGGATTACACATTCTTTTCTGATGTTTGATTAGTTCATAATATCTCTGGAAAACTGCACTACATTTCTTACATTGATAGTTCAAACCAGGAGTTCTCTGAAAAGGTGAGATTGGTTCTTTGGCTTCTGTTGCAGGTTGGTTTTCATAGATTTTTCTGGCTTTTTGACGAGCATTTTGAAACCAAACTACAATTACTCTTGGACTAAGGCCCAGCATCTTGGACAAATGTTCTAATTCATCATCTTTGGGGTAAGCATTCTGCTCAAAATATTCCTGAAGCATTTTAATTTGATAATCTGTGAACCGTGTCCTGTTAGCTCTTCTAAAAGCTGAGGCAGACTGAATTGAGTGATCAAATGAGTTGTGTGATTGTTCATCATACATAGCGCCGTAAGAAGGAGTTGGTGTATTTGGTATTGAGGTGTTTGGTGTAGATGGTATGGAAGACGTAGTAGAGGGGGTGGAAGCATTTGAACGACAGTCATATTCTTTTCTATCTTCAACTATAGTTAATCTTGGTGGTTCTGGTTTAAAACATAGTTCATATCGGTCTTTCTCTGAATCCATATCTATATCATGACTGTCTCGATCCTCATCATCACTGGGTTCCTGTTTTATATCAGTAAGTTTACCTGTCTTTTCATATTCATCAATATCAATAGATGTGGAAGGAGGATTGTTAAAGTTATATGGAGAATCTTTATTTCTTTGTCTCTCTTTAAATAAAGTATTCCTGAACCAATGTTTGATCACTTTTTGCGGTAAACCCGACAGATCTGACATCTGCTTTATTTGATCATCACTAGGTGAATTAGTGATATCAAAGTGGGCACGCAAGATCTTTAGCTGATCATCACTGATTCTGGTTCGCACTCGCTTTTGGTTTGCAGCTGCTGCTTGTTGCATCTGTTGTTGAGCAGAGGTAAAGCTAGAATCCATCATTGGAGGCATGGGGGACATAAAATTAGACATATCCATGCCTGGCAACATCATTGGCATCATGGGAGAAGGCATTCCCATAGGCATCATTCCTAGTGGCATTGGCATCATTCCAAACATAGGCATCAATTGGGAAATATCAAAATGATTTGGTATTTGTGATGGGGGAGGTGGCGGAGGCATTTCTTGTTGAGTGGGTTTATCTGTGGTTGAAGAAGAGTGTGGGGTAAGTGGAGCTTCAGGTTCTTTTGGTTGTTTCATTTCAAAGTCAGTTTTAAATTTAGCACCAAAAGTTTCTACAGCACCAATTGGTACTATTTCTTTGTGTACTTCTTCTTGGTGTGCTTTTAAAACCCATACACTTGAGAATTCCTTGTTACATTCAGAACAATGACTTCTGTTTATTTCAGGCATATCTGGTCTTTCTTTTTTCACTCTAGCTGATTGTTCTGGCATCACTTCAATTTTCTCCTCAATCTCCAATTCTTTGACTTCCTCATTTCTGCCTTCCATTTTTTCTTCATCTTTTTCTTTCTTAGCTGGGCATGCCTGTGTATACTCATTAAACTGCATTACACATTCAAATCCAATATTTTCCAAGAGATTTTTCTGAACTTGTGGTTTAAAGCGACCATAAACATTCCTTGGTCTGGCTAAAGCAGCTCCAGTACTCAGATAGCAGTATATCTTCTGATGTTGTATCAAAGATTCTTGGTTGGTAAATGTTGAGTTACATTTTTGGCATGTAAGATTACTGTTGTTGTTTTCTTTATCCTTTAAACTATCAAGTGTTGAAGTATCCATTCTTTCTTCTTCTTTTGAAATAATTTCCTTCTTCAGTGGTCTGTCAATTACATCTTCATCATGTTCTTGTTTAATTGTTGAAATAGGGAGCATGGGGCTGTCATGGCTGATAGAAGAGTTATGGAAGGTTGATGATGAAGACTGTGTCTTACTTTGAACTGTGGTTGTGTCTGATTTAATAATGCTGTTTGAAGAAGACAGGGGTTGGCCTGTACTAAGTAAACCAGGGGATGGGGATGACGTTGAAGACGTTGGTAGAATGCCTGATAAACCTGGCATCGCTGGAAGTCCTGACATACCTGGGAAGATAAGAGACCCTTGAGGGACATTACTAACCGAAATCTGAGCCTGAGTTTGGTGTATCATATCTGTTAGTGCTTGGGCTTGTTGTGTTGAGACCTTTCCTAAATCTGGATTTTCTATTAATGGCAATGTAATGTCTACGCGTCCTGTCATGGCCAATTCATGGATCTTAGATGCTCTGGTTTGATGGGCAACTGATCTAATATGAATATCTAAGGTAGCTCCCTGGTTATATGCGACCCTACATATATTACATCTATAGGGCTTACGTCCTGAATCAGGTGATGTTGTGGCTGTAGATGGAGAAGAAGACGTGGAAGGAGGAGATGATGCTGATCTTGTTGTGGTAGTTGATGGTTGGGAAGTTGGTAATGAAGAAGACAAGGAGCCTTGATGAGCAGCTTGTTTCGATTTATGCAGATGAGAGACTGAATTGTAATGAACCAACAGAATACTCTTTTGTGTAAAGGATTCTTTGCAGACATCACATTTAAACGGTCTGTTGGGATCTAAGTATCTATCTACTGGATAGCCGAGTTTCTCTCCTCGTCGATGTTGTAAGGTTTTATTATGACTGGTTAAGTAAGTTTGTTTAGTAAAAGCTACTTTACATCTGTGACATTTAAATTTCCTATTATGATCTTCATAACTTCCTTCAGCTATAGCTTGACTGTTCATATAATCTTCCATAAACTGTTGTTCTCTATATGTCACATCACCATCAGTTTTATCACCATCTACACCCGAAAAGTTCACATTTTCATCTGAAATAGCACTATTATTTAACATATCACCCTCATCGTCATAACAAGAATTATCATCCGACATATCTTCATCATCTCGCATGTTCACAGTTTCAGTCACTGACATTCCATTTCCACTTATATCAGATATTAGGTTGGCACCACTAGCACTATTTTTAACAATATATTTTTCGAAGCCTGGATTTGTATACAAAGCATAAGCTTTTGTATTTAGCTCACTTAAATGTTTTTCCAGTTCTGTTTTCCCAATATCACTGTGAGTTGATTCTAAATGTTCGAATATTTGTTGAACACCTTTCATGGAGGCAGAACAGATGGGACAAGATGAAACTGATTGAACTAAATGATACTGCGAATGAATGTTAAGCTTGTCTTCTGTTGGGAATACCACAGAACATTGAGAACATGAAAATTTGGCATCTGACAGGTTGTTGCGCCTGGCATGGATCTCTCGAAAGTGAACTTGTAATGCTTGAGCTGTTTTAAAATACTGATTACATCCTTTCTTCCAACACAGGTAGCCGGGACCTCTTGGTGTCTGCTTTAGTTCTAGATGGCCCAGTTCATTTTGGTGAGCATACAACTGATCGATATTACCAAAAGATTTAGAACAAGTTTGACAGCGATACTGTCTCTCTTCATTCTTCTCTGACACCATTGAACTATCTACAGCTGAAAGAAAACAATGCATATTAGTTACAACACATGGAATTAACATACTTTCAGATCACATTAAAAACTGGAAAAACATTTTTTGCAATATTAAATGTATATTATGTGTCACTATCTTATTAAAGTAGAATTACCTTCATCTCTGATAAATTTAGCATGATCAGCTTCAAGTAAATCCCAGTTAACATCCACCTGTTTATCAACATTTGGCATCCCAGAACCCAATTCTTCTGCTGGACTGCTGGATCTCACGCTATCAGACTGTTCAGCGATGAGAAGGATTCGCTCCAGGCCCTCGGGTTTAACATTATGTGCATTCAGAAGATGGGATTTGATTTGAGAAATCTGTGGAAACTCTTCCTGGCACAATGGACAATGATACCATTTTACTTTTATTGAGTTTTTGGTCGCAGTGTTTTCAAGTCTGATCTCATTAACAGGTTTTACATCTTGCCCATCTGTAAAGATAAATATGTAATGTCAAGAATGAGTAAAATCAATTAACTATTTAAACTTGAAACCAAATGGGACATTGAAATGGGATATCCTTTAATAGCAGGTTACACGTAACTTATTTAAGTAGAACAATCACCCAGCATTTTCTCACATACAGCCCAAATGAAATATCCTTTATAAATCATCAAACCTTTTGTATAAAAGAGATTATAAACAGGTCAGTGCACATCAAAAATAGAAATTTCCTAATCTCTTGTAACTCAGCACAAAGCAAAATAGACAAGATTATTCTGGTAATTTACATTAATACTATTTATTAATGAATTGAATAATAAATAATATCTCCTCTATAAAACTTTGTTTCCATAGATGAAGGGCTAAACAATATAGAAACATGCTGACAGTAGTCAATGAGATAAAGGACGGGCATTTCTTTTATTTATGTAAAGGGAGTAGACAATGCTAGGTTATTAGCCATTTAGAAAAAATGGTTGGCGTTGCATAGATAGTGAGATTTTCTTTGTTACACGGAAAATGAATCTTGTTAAAACACATTGTCAGGTTTGCTAGTGTCGCTTAGATTATTTTTATGTATCTTATTAATATATTGGTATATAAACAGTATAATGTGCGAGGCTCTATGCTATTCACCATTAAAATCTATTGATAATTAATATCTTATTTACTTTCACAGGTTGTATAATAATGATTTGCCTTTGTGTTGGTATATATTATAACTACCAGTAATACTGCCTCAGTTCATGGGAAAAGTGGAAATTAATCAACTTTTCATTTAACCGAACACCAACAAATCTTAACAAAAAACTTCCATTCTATAGAGACTGAAAAACAAATAGTCCAGTTTTGCTAATTTTATTCTTGTAAAAAATTATATATGTATTATGAAGAAATATCCCTTCTTAATATTTATTTTGAGAATAGTTTTTAATACTATAAAAACATCTTATTGAAGATAAAACAGGATGTTTAATTCTGATAAAGTTTAAGGTTTCATAAGATAATAATACTGATAAATTTCTTTCTTATTTCTCATCTAGGTTGGGGGTTTTGGTTTATAAATTATTGTATTTTAATTACATTGCTGGAGAGGAGTCATAATAAAAGAATGCTTACATTATATTAAATTATATTGAGAAGATATTTTATGTATGGGAGTAAACTGAACCGATCCAGTTACCCAACATGGGATTATGTATAAAAGAAGTTTGGTATTGATATAATATGCAATGTGTAAACAGGGTGGTCTACATTATTAGAATCTTCATGCCTGGAAAGTTAAAAACATTGTGATATCTTACATCTGATTTTATAACTTATTTCATTAATGAATAGAGTTATAATTTGTTGTGTGTGTATTTTCTTCCTTTTTCATAACCTTTTTTTTAGTTAAAACTTAGAATATGCAGCATACCTGTACTTTTACTGATTGTTGCTGATGCTGAACTATTTGGCGAACTCTGTATTGTTGAAGAACCTTCAACTTTGACCTCTGTTGCTTCTGTCTCACCCAGTTTGATGTTTTCTGGTAGATCTCCTTCTGGAAAAGAGAGCAAATTAAAACCAACTTGAGAAACATATTAATTGCACTTGTACCAGAACACAAAAAAGTGGGAAATACACCACAAGATTTGGAATAAATATTTTTTCATTAAATATTGCTTCATGTTGCACAGACAGAATAAGTTTACTCTATAGTGATAACATTTTAATTATAAAGTTATTTTTTGCTCATTTGAAACACAATCTTAAAAGAAAGTTCTTCTAGTGGAAAATTTATGAAGAATGTTAGTTAATCTTTGTAATCTAAGTTTACTAAAACAGAAGTTTTGCCTTAATTATCAAAATAAACTATGGTGTTCTAATGGAATTCTCCAGCGGTTTATCATCTTGATAAATAAATATTACATTCCAGTTTTTCTTCTTGTTGATTATCCTTATGGTGTAATATTTAATGATCATTTCATTTCAAACTTGTGTAAAAAGAGCAGATGGAAAAAAACTTTGATGGAGGCCTCTGATGATAAATTAGGTATTAGAAGATAAAAACTGCCCTATAACTGCTAACTGACAAAATATTTATCTTCAACCAAAACATTGTGATAATTATTTTTGCCAAGTATTAGTCATTTTTAGGCTAAATATATTTTCTCAGGCGGCTGTTGATTAATTTTCTGATAGAAATAGAGTTATTTCATTAGTTTTTCTGTTGAATTCATTATCTTAATGGTACACTAGTTCACAGCTCTACCTTTAATATAAAGGATAGTCGGTCTGATTCATTACAACATAATACCATTTTAAAAAATTATAGTAGATTCGTGTTAAAAATAATAGAAAATATTACAAGAGTAGAACATCAAAACTATTGTTAGATTTTATGTGATTTGAACTGGTGACAAAACAAACCAAAGTGAATTGATATTTCTTTTCAAATGATTTTACAAAACTGTAAATTAGCTGATTTCTTAGTTACATGTATGTTTTCGCATGATCTACCAAATGAAAAACATGACTGAGCTAAAATAATGAATTCAGCTGTCAATTATGTTAAAGGGTATTAGTATATCATTTCAATGACCTTGCTGTGTTACTCTAATAGACATTCATAACTTTTTACCAGTCCATGTTTAATGCAATTTAATACAACAATATATAATGCAACTGGTCTATACTTATTTATGTATATCTTTATACAGTTTTTTTTGTTTTTAACCCAACATGTTAAAAATGTATTCTTATTTTGACTTATTTCTTCCTAATTCCAAATAGATACCTTAAGTTTTTAATACTGTAATACGCTTACAAGTTTCTGATTCTAGAATTTACAAATCCTTTTAAGACACAGATAACGGTAGCATTTCACGTCAGTTTAAAGCTTAACAAAGTTGAGGATTTTTTTTTCCCGATCTAAATGGATTCTAGATAACACAAAGCCATGAGAATGCTGAATTTTTTTTATCTATAACTTTGAAATATTTGTAATCAGGTTGAGTCAATAAACCATTCTTATCACAATATTACAGAACATCTTAACATGAAATAATATACCAAATATAAGCAACCTATTCTGTACAAATATCGTATTACTTAATCATTTCAAATTATATATTTGGGCATTTTGCTAATCTTTCCCACTGAGATGATAAAAACAAACTACATTTTAACACTAAGATGTATGGAAACAAAAAAAAAAAGATTAAAAATTAAAACCTTCATTTTACTCTTCAACATTTTTTAATACATGTTTATTGTAACTATCAGAAAACATTACATTTACATACAAATTAATTCATAAACTTTGGTGAAAATGATGCTATCCTCTTTTAAAAAAATATAGTAATAAGTAGTAAAAAGAAGAGATGAGAGATTAAGATTTATTTTTGTAATAGCGGGACCTTGTGTCCCCTGTCTGTAGAAACTAAGCTTCTGTTAACATCCTATCAAACTTACACTTCACTTGTCTTATTCATATCAGTAACTCTATACTTCACAAACAGTTAACTAAAGCAAGACACCCTTGCTCCTTAACATGTAAACAATGACTCCAAATTTCAACTCTGCTCAATGATTTATCCTATTGCTTTTAGAAAAAAAACCCACCAGTTTATGTTTTAATTTGTATTTAAATAAAAAGGCCAGAAGATCTCGCCTCTTGTCAGATAGTCATTTATTAACAGGGAATGGTAATTCTGCTTCATGGCGTATCATCTGGTTTAAGCGATCGATAAAATGAAAAAGAACAGATGAGGCAACAAAAATCAATAGTGTTCCGTTATGATTGGGATATCATATGCTCTAAGGGTATATAGGTCAGACTTCTGATCATTATTTGGGAAAATTTCGACCTGTTACAGGCAAATTGGCAAGAACTGTCAAATGTGTCTTCATATTAGTTTTCCAGCCCAATGGCTTGTAGAATGTGGTAACAAATTGTGATACAGCAGTAGGCAAATGGGCAAATCCAGCCAATCAACAAGATAATTTGTTGCGTTTCTTGTACCATGCAAAAATTTTCATTTCACAGACGCAAAATTCATTTCCTTGGGAGCTAGGTGGCACAGATATAATTAGTGTTGAGGATATTGATTGGTGAAAAATGGCTGGCAGATTAATTTGATGGTCTACTCAGTTTGATAGGAAAAATAATAGATCCCTGTGAGCTAGTGCTGTAATGCTGTGTTTCTCCAAACTTTAATTACTGCAATTATGAGAGGCTGAGCGCAGAAGCTCGAGGTGGCGGAATGCAACGGGTTCTAAACAGATCTATAAAATTACATTGATTCATTAGACTACAACAACCCTAGCTGTAAGATCTTTCATTAGACAGACTTAAGCTTCTTTCAATATCACAAATGACTGCCTTCCACGCCAAGTTATTTTTTCTTTTAGTCCGATTTTGTGATGACGTTTTTAATGGATCTTGAGAATCTGCCTACTCAAACTACTTCAATTTTGTTTTTCTTGCGTTGATATCATTATTATGGTTTGAAATCATATGGGTTTTCAAATATCTTTATACCATTGGAATAGCAATATTTCCGTTTTTTGTCTCCATGATTAATGGAATGCTGTATATAAACGTCAAAATAGGATAATTTTCTATATGGCAAGAAAAGTTAATGGAAGATTTAGATATAATGGCTTATCCAAGTTTTTTTCGTCATTAAATCCATCAAAAGCCGAAGATAATTATACATGACAATTTTTTCTCTACATCTTAATAAGTTTAAAATGAACCCTTTAAGGCTTTAGGTAAAGTCATATAATGAAGAACATCTTCAAAATGAGATTAAAAATATGGGGTGAGGACATTAACGATGGCAGATAATTATTCATATCTTAGATGGTTCAGTCATCAAATATTACATAATTACCTGCAGCACATATTTAATGTGACTCACTATGGTAATCTCCCTTTACAAGATTTGACAAATTCCGAATAATTTTTCTGTTGAAAACAAACAGCATTAAACACAGCTCATTAATAAATATAGAAAATGGATGCTCGCAAGAAAAATAAAGCCAGATGTACATTGGGATACATTGATATACCTCATGCAGATACATTTTCACTCCAGTTCTTTCCCAATGGAAGGTAATATACACAAATAATCTTGAAAACACCAAATAGAAAATACACTGACCTTGTTGGTAAGAGTAATCTGTATTGAATATGTTAAATAAACGAGTAGGCGTAGAATTATTGGTAGTTAATGTTTGTTTAAGTGTATATTATAATTAGCTTTGTTTTAACCAGACAGCAGTAGATCTGTTGTATACTGTACTGTAACAGCTGTATTTATTCTACTATCTATATAATCAGTCTGTTTACCAATTAGGTAGATTAATATGTTCTACCTCATTACTATTTATTCATATAGACTATCTTCCTTTCTATCAATAATTACAATTATTAATCATCAACACAATTAATCTATGTATTTGTGTCTGCTATATTATTAAAGTACATGTATGTGAAACATTGTCCATACCCATAAGGGTCTACTGTAGAATTTTCTAAAATGATGAATATATTACCAATAATTAAACCTGGCGTTGATCATACTTTTGTTGTCTATGTTATAAATTTCATCACTATGTCATGTAGAAAATGTACTAGACATAAATTTACAAATGTTGGTAACTCAATCATATTCTATCATAAATATATTAATGACTGCAATTACATTAACACATTTTTAGCATCGTAGATTAAAGAAAATCAATATTTCTCTTTGTTCTAAAACTTGATTAAAGGAGTGGTCTATACTTGAAAAAAATAATCTTGGTTTAGGTCTTGTAAAACAAAGAAATCCAACTATTAAAACAAGAGTAATAAAAAAATGTTTTTTAATGTCAAAGAGTTTGGCATTGGGGCAGGGCGAGGTGGGAGAAGGATAACTTAGAGGGGTTATTTACAATCACACTTCTAACGGAATGGAGATCTGAAAGCAAAGCTTTAGACTCTACCCCCCCGTGTCCCTCTCAATGTAGGGAATGTATCGTTAGACATGGACTGCATGTACTCTCACAATCTATGATTTCTGTCAGAATAAACACAACTTTGGATTTCTTTTACTAAATTAGTTAAATCGGAGTAAATGTCCCTAAACAATTTGCACCAAAGAGATAATTAAATCTATGGATTCTCGAGACACAATTAATAAAATATAAAGACATGAATAATATAGTAACAAAACATCAATGTTTTGTCAAAAAATGATACTTGTACTGATCATCACATGCAGGCATTTGAAATCCCTTACAAGTGGAAGTCTAAAAGGAAAATAAGTCCAAAAATATAATGAACTGAAAATTTCCTAACATTCAGAATCCTCTGCAGATATAAGCAAGCCAGATCCATCTATAAGAGTTGGGCTTCTTTTTAATCTGATTGCATTCAAGTCTAGAGATTATCTATCATTAATATTTTGTCTTTGTTGTTTTCTAAATTAAAAGTTAAATAATCAGTTTGAATGAATTTTGGATTAATATGCTTAAAAAAGCTATTGGTCCTTTGTTTCCATTAAAAGATTG